ACCAACTAAAGTAGTCAGATGAGTCACCAGGGGCCAGGGATAGTGCCCATTGGAGGGAGTCCTGGGCTTCATTCTGGACCATTATTTAATGTCACTGCCAAGAGTATCGACACTCCCTTCTCCTCTCCCGAGATGCTGATGTCCCCCACGACTGTGAAAGCTGCAGCAGGAGCCATCTCTGCATCATGTGGGCAGCTCGTGCACCCTGAAGAGCACATTGCTCCCGCAGAGGGCCAGGGTTCGGTTCCCAGCACCCACATCAGGCAGCTCACAACCGCTCCTGTTCCAGGGGATCCAATACCCTCTTCCAGTCTCTTCAGGAACCTTCGCTCATGTACACAAACTCCTCTCCCCACCCCCAACATACACACTTAACTAAAAATAAAATACAGCCGTGGCGCACGCCTTTAATCCCAGGACTCGGGAGGCAGAGCCAGGCGATCTCTGTGAGTTCGAGGCTAGCCTAGGCTACAGAGTGAGTTCCAGGAAAGACGTCAAAGCTACACAGAGAAACCCTGTCTCGAAAAAACCAAAAATAAATAAATAAATAAATAAATAAATAAATAAATAAATAAATAAATAAATAAATAAATGTTAGAATGTAAGAAAGACCCTCATTACTTGTCACAGCTCCTAGAAGACATGCAGGCTCCTGTTCCTTGCCCATGACCCTGCCCATCTCCCTGACTGTCCCTCCTGGAGCTACTTGGATTTTATTTCCTAGAACCCAAAGGCTACTTTTCCCTCCTGTCCAGGACTCTCAGTTATCAACTCTACCAAGTGACTCACCTATTTGTCTGGTTGGCTAGTTGACTTTATTGAGACAGAGTCTTACACAAAACTCGGGCTTTTAACTCAAGGTAATCCTCCAGCATCAAGTACGGGCATTATGGGTGTGAGCCTCGTCTGACTTGCATTTTTTCTGGAGAAGGTCTCTCTCTGCAGTCCAGACTGGCTCTAGAGCATCCTGCCTCAGCACACACACACCTCCCCCAGTGCTAGGATTATAGGCATACCACTCACATTTTGTACGTTTTATTAATTTATTGATTTACATATTTTATTGGGGTGGGGCACAGTATTATGGGGCAGTCAGAGGACAACTTGCAGGAGTCGGAGCTCTCTCTCCACCACGTGGGTGGGCTCCACCTTTGCCTGTTAAGCCTTTCCTCAGGTCTTGTTTTGTTTTGAGACAGTGTCTCATGTATCCCAGGCTGCCCTCCAATTCACAGCGTAGCTCAATCTGACTTAATTCCTAACCCTCTGCTCCCACTTTCCAAGTGCTGGGATCACAGGCATGTGCCCGACTCCCAACTCCACTTCTCTTTTTGTGACTGTTTTGTTGTTTTTGGAGACAGGGTCTCACTTTGTAATCCTGGCAGTCTGGAACTCGCTGTGTACCAGGCTGGCCTCGAACTCACAGAGATCCACCTCCATTAGGAAATTTGCTTCGCTTTTTAAAACTGTGTGTTAGTATTATGGGTGTGTGCTCATTCACACGTATACGGAGGCCGGAAGTGGGTGTCTTTCTCTATTGCTTTCTAGCTTCTTTTTTGAGACAGGGTCTCTCCCTGGACCTGGAGTTCACCTACTGGATAAAATGGCTGGCCTGTGAGCTTGGAGGGATTTGTCCCCAGCACCCTCTGCCCATTCTAGGGTCACAGACCCGAACCACTACGCCTGCCTTTTATATGGGTGTCGGGAATCCAAACTCAAGTCTTCATGTTTGTGTGACAGACACCTCAGCCAACACCCCAGCTCCTTCATCCTCATACTTAAGGTCTCCGAATCAGGGGAGCTCAGGGCCTGGTCATCCCGGGCAGTCCACATTGCTCCTTGTCACCAGTTACAGAGTTGTCCTTTGTCCCCTTGCTTTCTGTCAGCCACAGTTTGTGGGTGTGTGCCTGTTTCCCAGCCGGTGCCCCAGCCACAGGCTAGGCCCAGTAGCCAGGGCTATTCGGAAGCCATTTGAGGATCAGGGGGTGCCCGGCACAGTCTCCGGCATGCAGGGCACTTTGGCGCTATTTTTTCTCCATTTTAAATTGCCAGTGGAGGGGGGGGGGCTGCCTGACCTCGTTTTCCCGGAATATGAAGGGACATGGAACACAGGACCTGCTGACATTCTGAAAGACACAGGGACAGTCTCTAGGTGGACCGAGGTCTGGCTGCACTGGCCTCTAAGGAGGGCAGCGGCAGGAGGCGGCCCATGAGGCAGTATTCCCAGTGAACAGTGAGCAGTTTCTCAATTCTGGCAAGCTCGTGGGTCTTAGAAGAGGTTCCAAAAACGGCTGTGAGTTTGTAGCTTCAGGACCCTGCCGCCTCACGGGACAGAGGTAACCGGGGAACGGCTGGTCGAAAAGGTCTGGTAACTCCAGGCCTTGCCAAGTAGAATATGGGGAAAAGCCTGTGTCAGAACATGCAGGAGCTGTGGCAGACCTTTGAATTCTAGTACTCCAAAACCCTGAGCAGGACATCTTGCCCATTCCCTGAGCAGTGTGGGGAGCAGGTACGTTTCATTACATCTCGGTGTTTCAGGTGGGAGTTCCTGCTAGTTCCGGAAGTCTGAAAGCAACTGTCCTAGCCATGACATGGAGAGTCATTCCTCCCAGAGGGCCAGAGGCTGAAATCCAACATGGTGCTGCTCCACCTCTAAGCATGGGCTTTGGAGCCAGGTGGAGCTGAATTCAAATTGTGAGTTTACAGATTGCTAGTTCTGTGACTCATTATCTCTGGGCTGGCTTTGTCACTCATGGGTGTGGAGAGTCACCTTCACTGGTAGTTTGGGGGACTAGATGGGGCCTCTCCTGCATCATCCAATCCGGAGCTGTTTCTTTAGAATTAGTGGGGTTAGCAGGGCACGATGTCTCCCAACACTTGGTCGGCAGACAGAGAGGCCTTTGAGTTTGAGGTTAGCCTGGTCTACAGAACCAGTTCCGGGAATGCCAGGGCTACATAAAGAAACCCTGCCTTGAAAGTCCAAATAAATAATTAGTGGGGTCTTTCTTCTATACCCCAGGGGCATCAGAAATAGTGAGCCCTGGGTAGTGCCAGCCTATGGCTCCCGTCCTGTCTGTCCTTTCTCCATGCCATGCCCGCCGACGTGAGGCATGCTGGCTCCCGAGAGTGCCCACCCGTGTTAGTCCACCCCAGTTCCTTCCAGGCCCCCCAAGGTGAAGAAGAGAAATAACGAGGCAGAAGCCCAGAGGAAGAAGATCCAGGAGAGAAAAAAGGAACAAGTTTTATTAAAGCCCCAACACTCGGCTAGAAAAAACCAGAAGGGAAGAGAAGAAAGCAGGGAGGTAGGGAAGAAAAAAGACATTAAAAAAGAGACAGAAAACACAGCAACCCTTTCCATTTAGAAATTGTCAAGTTACACTGACAGAGGTCACAGGATATCCACAGAAGCCATCACTGCTACACCAACACAGGCCCTACGGGGTTGATGAGTGGGTGTGGAACCAGGCTGGCCTTGGGAGGCCCCACTTGGGACCCCACTAAAGCCTTGGCCCTGAGGCCCCTGGGGAAACAGGTATATTGTGGAAGGGGCCAGAGAGAACCCCCCATGCGAGTAACACAGCACAGCGGGCAGGGGTGAGGGGACCGGGTACAGGGTCCCCCAATGTGGCAGTTTCTCTTGGCAAGCACACACTGATGGACAGAGCGGCGGCGGCGGCGGCAGCGGCGGCGGCGGCGGCGGCGAGGCGCATGCAGCTGAGAGGGGGCATTGACGTGCTGTGGGCTTTGAGAAGGTGCGGGGAGGGGGGGGGAGGCCTCAGGAGGGGAGCCGGGCGGGTGGTGCAGGGATGATGTGACACACGCACATGCACACGCACACTGACACACACAGAGGCCCTCTCACACGCCTGCCTGCATCTGTACACAGCCATACCCACGGCTCATGTTACCTCTATCCATCCACATACGGTGCTCACGTGAACAGCCAGGCGTGTCTGCACGCACCTTACACATGTTCTTACTCTCACGGTTCCTTTCACACGGTCATGCTGATGCCCAGGCAGGTTATGCTCACATACATGTACAGAGCGTCACACGTACCATGTAAGTTCTGCCTGTGTACACACACTCCATGCATGTGCACACACTTAAGTGGTGTAGGCTCGTGCCAATGTGCGCACACACAGGCTGCACACAATCCCATACAAATGTCTTCCAGCACACACACAAGCCCAGGAACCAAAGTGAAGAGCTCTGTAAATCCCACAGGCCCTGCTTGAGCGTGTGGGCAGCCCCCATATGGATGGTCACGTCTCCCGGCTCCCCCTCCCTCCCTCCCTCCCTCCCTCCCTCCACAAAGGATACTCAACTCGGGACAATGACAGAGGGGCACACACTCAAGTCACAGGGCTGAGGGGGTGTGGGGGCAAGCAAAGAGCAGCAAGCAAAGAGAGATGGAGTGGAGGGGCCCCTCCCCCTCCCCTCCCAAGCCAGGGGTCTCTGTACAGCCAAATCAAACTGCTTCACCGGACTACAGGTCACACGCCTGTCCCCAGCCCCCTCCCCTGCCAGACAAGCCAGGGAGAGTGCGCTGTGGTTTTCTTTTTTTTTTCTTTTTTAAATATTTATATATATTTATATTACGTATATTATATATATATAATATGTAAATATATTTTTAAAACAATATAAAATGTTAAGACACTTCACTTAAATGTAAAGAGTTGCTTGCAATTAAAAGTAATTGCATCATTGTGAGGTCCTTTTTTTTTTTCTCCCCTATTTTCTAGGGTTTTTTTGTTTGTTTTCTTTTTTGGTTTTTTTTTTTGTTTTTTTTTTTAAATTTTTTGTGTTTTTTTTTTTTTCTGGGAGGGATTTTTTTTTAAAATGTTACAGGT